ACTTTCACACTTCTTACCACACTGGATGTGGAACCAGATGTGTGTGTTTGGTTTAGGAGTCTGTCACTAGTCATGTGACCTTGAACAAGTTTGTCAAAAGGCAAGCTCAAACGTTAACAAACTTGACAACGGTCACAAGGCTACAACAGAGCCAGGATTCAAATGAACAAGTCTTCTAACTCCAAGCTATTACACCACAATGCCAGCCAAAAACACTTACCTGGGAATAAAGAGAACTCAAAAAACACCCTGTTCAAATGCTAGTTTTACTCTATGATGGTTATGGATAAACTGTGACAAAATAAGATCAGCAGCTATAGAAACTTATCTTGAAAGGTAGAGATGAGGGACAGCCAAGGTCAAGAATTCAAAACTGATAGTTTTGAATGCAATAATGCTGGACTTCAACATGCATTTCTACAACAGTGAAGGGTTCCGATTTTCTTATAGGAAGAAACTCTGGTAGGAAAAAGCTACAATCTCACAATTTACAAAGAGGCTACAGAGACATTTTGTTTTCCTTTTGATTCATCATGGCTAAAGGATAAAGGTCTCTCTCCTCCTTTATAGCCCAACTCTAGCACCAGCTTGAAAGAAAACCTTATACATCAGTTTCCTCCTGAGTGAATGGAATGGCAAGAGCCCCCTCAGAGTTACTGTGACTGGATGAATCCACACATCAGAGGCCTTTGATCTTCAAGAAGAATGGTGCTGAGCACTAACATTATCAGTCTTTTGCTTTTTTGTTCTCCTTGGTTTTTGTTGTTACATTTATTTGATCCCTTTTCATGTGCCTACAGACTATTTTATTTGTGTCTCTCTCAAAACTGAATTTATTTTTAGTAGTACTAGTTTATAACTATGGAGAAAGAAAAAACTTTCTGTGAATAAACTGTGAGAAGAAAATTGGAAGAAAAAGTTAAAGCTTAATACTCCCCAATCCCCCACCAAATACATCCCAAACATTTTTTAAGTTAGTCTACCTTGGTGACGAGAAAGAGAATAAACAGAGATTGCCAGGGACACTGCCATTGATTCAGGTTTTTTTTTTTTTTTTTTAAGACACAGTCTCGCTCTGTCACCCAGGCTGGAGTGCAGTGATGCAATCTCAGCTCACTGAAACCTCCGCCTCCCAGATTCAAGCGATTCTCCTGTCAGCCTCCCAAGCAGCTGGGACTACAGGCGACCACCACCATGCCCAGCTAATTTTTTGTATTTTAGTAGAGACGGGGTTTCAACATGTTGGCCAGGATGGTCTCGATCTCCTGACCTCGTGATCCATCCGCCTCAGCCTCCTCAAGTGCTGGGATTACAGGTGTGAGCCACTGCACCCGTCCCATCCCATTCTGTTTTATGGGAGTAATGGGACAGGCAAAACTTCTGTCTGTCACGGTGAACGCTGCTGCCAAGAGCAAGGTGGGATCACCAAATGGCAACAACAATGCTAGCAAATGCCAGCATCTCCACACACCCATGACACTGCACCACTAGACTACCATCCACATGTACCCGTGACCCTGCATCATTAGGCCAGTATATCACTGCACCACTAGGTCAGTGCATCCACACACACACACACACCAACCCTGCCCCACTAGGCCAGCATGTATACACACAAGCAACACTGACCCACAAGGCCAGTGCGTACGCACACATGTGACACCACACCACTAGGCCAATGAGTCCACACATACGCCACACTGCACCACAAGGCCAGCACATCCACACACATGCAATACACACAACTAGGCCAACATGTCCACATGAGACACTGCACCACTAAGCCAGCGCGGGGACACGGACACACACACACACACACACACACACACACACACACACACTGCACCATTAGGCCAGCTTGTTCAGTGGCCAAACAACCACCTGTCATCTGATGTCTTTGAAAAAAATCCAGCTGTCAAATAACAAAAAGGATGTTGTATTTGAAACTTACAAAATCAATTTCAAGGTAAAAATTTTATAAAGTAGCTAACAGTTTTTATGACCACTTTAAAGAAAACACCATGGGAGGAAAAAAAACTAATTAATGAGGATTCTAACCACATACCCAGTGAAAAGAAGATAAAGTATTACCACTGTAGCACTCCAACTGTGGTGGCCAGTGAAAGGACAGTGACTTATGCATTCACACATCTCCAAGAAACATCTGATTGTAAACTTAGCTGCAGTAAATTCATGAAATACAGATGGAATTATTTGGGATAACCTTCCTCTTTTTTCTTTTGAGATGGAGTTTCGCTCTTGTTACCCAGGCTGGAGTGCAACGGCGCGATCTCGGCTCACCGCAACCTCCGTCTCCTAGGTTCAAGCAATTCTCCTGCCTCAGTCTCCCGAGTAGCTGGGACTACAGGCATGCGCCACCATGCCCAGCTAATTTTTGTATTTTTAGTAGAGACGGGGTTTCACCATGTTGACCAGGATGGTCTTGATCTCTTGACCTCATGATCCACCCGTCTCAGCCTCTCAAAGTGCTGGGATTATAGGCATGAGACATCGCGCCCGGCAAGGGATAACTTGTTCTTCTAAAAACACTAAATAAAAGATAAAAATGAGCCAGGCATGGTGGCTCATGCCTGTAATCCCAGTACTTTTGGAAGGCTGAGGTAGGTGAATCACCTGAGGTCAGGAGTTCAAGACCAGCCTGGCCAACATGGTGAAACCCTAAAAATACAAAAATTAGCCAGGTATGGTTGCACATGCCTGTACTGCCTGCTACTCAGGAGGCTGAGGTAGGAGAATCGCTTGAACCCAGAAGGCAGAGGTTGCAGTGAGGTGAGCCAAGGTGGAACCACTGCAACCTCTGTTGCCTGGGCAACAGAGCAAGACTCTGTCTTTAAAAAAAATAATAATAAGACTACAAATCTCAATAACAGTGATAGGTACTCAAATATATTGATTTTAGGCATTTATGTCAAAACATGTTGAATAACCAGTTACATACCTCATATATTTGTTTAACTGAAACTCTAAATCACTTAAAATCTTTTCCCTTAACCCATGAGACAAGATGGAAAGAGAAAGGAAAGAGTATGCAAACCAGTATAAGAAATATTCCACGATTTGGCTGAGTACGGTGGCTCACACTTGTAATCCCAGCACTTCGGGAGGCCGAGGTAGGTGGATCCCTTAAGCTTAGGAGTTCAAGACCAGCCTGGGCAAGATGCCAAAACCTTGTCTCTATGAGAAATACAAAAATTAGCCAGATGTGGTGGGGCACACCTGTGGTCCCAGCTACTTGGGTGGTAGGATTGCTTGAGTCCAGGAGTTTGAGGCTGCAGTGAGCATAATCCCACCACTACACCCCAGGCTGGACGACAGAGCAAGATCCTATCTCAAAAAAACAAAACAAAACAAGAATTATTCCAGGATTAAGTCACTGGTTCCAGCTAACAATATTCCAGGTCACTGGTCCCAGGTAACAATGTAACTGTTCCATCAATCTAATCAACCTTACATTAACTTCCTTTTTCAGCAAGTGAGCTTAAGATTGGAAAGGCGCCTCCAAAAGTCATACAAAGGTTGTAGAAGTTTGGAAGTTTATAAAACACTAGAGAAACTCTCTAAATTCATCTAAATTCCTGTAAGAAGTCAAACCTAACCACATCCGCACCATACCCTATAGCAGAGTTGGCAAACTATGGCCAGAAAAGCCACATCTGGCACACGGCCTGCTTCCTGTGGCCTGCGAGGAGAGTTTTTATATTTTTAAATGGCTGAAAGAGAAAGCAAAAGAAGAATATTTCCTGACACAAGAAAATTAAATGAAACTCAAATTTCAATATCCCTCAAGTTTTATTAGAGCACAGCCACCTCATTTATTAACATGTTTTCTATGGCTTTTATGCTACAATGGTTGAGCTGAGTCACTGCAACAGATACCATATGAAATATTAGCTGACCCAAAAAGCTTGCCAAAGCCTGCCCCAAAGTTGCTACTAATTTACCTTGAAATAACTGACTTTAGCTATGTAGCTTTGCACAAAAGTCTCCAGATGGGTTTTCCTGAATACCATCTGAGCATTAAAATGGAGAAATTATTGTAACCCACTGTAATTTAAGACAAAAGCTGGTAAATCTTAGTATTTTGTTAAAACCACATTATAGTATTTAAACAAAAAAAGTAGTCTTTCACCACTTTATTACTGATTATTTCCAGGAAGGAAAGGGTTTTAAGACTATTAGGAGTCTTACTTCCTGTACTTAAAAGGCCTAAAGTCAGCCATATATACACAAAATAAAACCTTTATGGGCAACCTTTTCTTGAGAGAGACAGAAAATACCCAAAGATGCAAATATCATGGACTTCTTTTGGACCTAACTCCCTAAGTCATTATGACTGGCTGTAATGTTACCTTCTGTCTCAGAATGAAATCTTCAGTATGTTTCTGTCCCCCTCGTCCCCCACCAATGAAGCTTTATAGTAGTAAAATTTTTCAGACATACAGAAAATGGAAGAATAGTTCAATGAAAATTCCTACAAATTCTGCCTAGATTCTCAATTAATTACATGCTGCCATATCTGCTTCATTCATTTCTCTGTCTTTTCTAGTGGCAGGAATTAAATCTTTAAAGCGTTCAGACCATCAGAACGCTTTTTCCCACCTCGGCCTCCCAGAGTGCCAGGATTACAGATGTGAGCCACTGCATCTGACCCATCAGAACATTTCACCCTAAATACTTTGGCAAACAATACCAGGATCATAATTTCCAAGGAAATGAAAATACGATAATATAGAAAGGGCATTAAAAAGTAAATTATAAAAGAGAGAGAGAGAGAGAGGCATAAAGCTAGATTAGTGAATAAACGGGGAACCTCTACAATCTCAACAATCCAAGTGGACACTGGAATGTTCACTCTCTGAAGCCAAAAGAGGAATCTGATAAATACAGTGATTACTACAAGATCAGGAGAGAGTAGACTCTCCACCTCCTGCACACAGTGACTCCTCCTTCATATGGAAGACCATGTCTCCAGTACTTACCTAAGGGCAGCAGCATGGTAAGTGTCAACGTAATCAGAAATGAAGAGCTCTCGGTTCTTAATAACTGGGTCTGTAATGACAAGTTCTCTTCCAGAGTCTGTCAAAAAAATTAATTAAGAGGACATTAAAATTGAGTTTCCCAAAACAAGTAAAAAAAAATGTTTTTAACTTTAAGACGGGGTTTCACCATGTTGGCCAGGATGGTCTCGATCTTCTGACCTCGTGATCCACCCGCCTTGGCCTCCCAAAGTGCTGGGATTACAGGCGTGAGCCACCGCGCCCCGCCAAGAAGTAAAAAACTTTGTAAAACTTTTCTTTCAGGTTTACCACCCACTGAATAACCAGGCCTGGTTAGCATCGTAAGTATACAAAATAGAGAAGAGGAATCATAAATTGCAAGAATAACAATAACAGAATGTGCAGATTTTGTCAATAAAGTATCTTTGGGGCTATGTTTTATACCCTATACTAAGTCCCTATATTTTGCCAAAATGGATTAAACCCAAAATGGAAAAAGAGCAGAAACAATCCTGGCAACTCTTCAACTACCAAAATACTTAATGATCCTGTCCATCTTATTTTTCTGGCTAAATATTCCAAAATGGAGTGAAATCATAGTTTCCATAGAAAAGAATATGTTTAACAAGGAACTATAATTTACCTGCTTTAACAGACGTTTTTATAGTTTCAAAGAAGGAAAAAAAAAATCCATTAAGATACAACATCATTCCTCCAAGTTGTTTTTCATTGGTTTGTTGACTCAAAGCTTGTGAGAAGAGTGGGCAGAAGGCAGGATCGGAGCCAAAGTTTGATGCCAGCACCAGGACCACAACTTGGAGGATGCATGGTCCCAGCAACTTCCTTAGCATCTCTCAACCTCAGTTTCCTCATCTGGAACCAGAGGGGGACAGACCCACCTCACATGAACTACAGTAACCAATGTGAACTGTAAAGCATAAGGCCTACCAATACTCAAGAATCCGTTTTTTAAAACGTTATCTTCATTTAATGAATGCCTTTAGAGAGGGAACTTTGCCCAAAGCTAAGAAATACATAAATCAAACCAGAAGGACATATTTACCATTTTCATTATGTCGATCCTGAACCAAATGCTGATACACAGAATCTGGAACCTCAGACTGACGGTAGTACCATTTGACGTTCATGAGGAGATGGTCCCTCTTACTCTGAAAAGGAAAATCTAACAGCATTAGGAACAGGATTTCAGGTGCCACAAGAGCATATCATACCCATGACCAAAAGCCCCTGTGAATGGGTTGACAGGTAGAGAGGGAGAGACACAATTACCGCCAGGACTACAATACATAAATCAGTTGTGAGGTCAAAAAAATCCATCTACAGGCCCTTCTTACCCCATCCCTCTCAACTGCTTATTTCGGGAAACAAAAGGAGACCAGTCTTAAATCTGTTTATCTCCCCAGTTTGATTAACTAAAACCATTCAATATTACATTTTTATTTAACATTAACTAAACAATACTACATGAATATGTCCTTCTATCTTAATCTTTAATCATTTTGTAAATACTTAGAGTGAGTTTTAGCAGACTGTCCAGGCTCATTTAGGGCAATAGTCTAGAAAGAACTTACCCAGCAAGGCCTGGTATAAAATAATCTCTCCTCCAAGGTTTGCCTATTACCCAGACTAAATTACATTCTCCTTCTACTTTTAGCCACAGTTATTGTTATATGCCAAATTAATATAGCAAAGAACGGGTGGTGATGAAGGTACCATGAGTCCCGAGAGTAGAGACCTCATCTTACTTATTTCTGAATCTCCAGAGAATAGAACATCTTGTATGTAATTATTTGTGAATAATGAAGAGTTTCATGATGATCACATAAACTATCCTATAAATGTTTGTAGGACACTGAACTATGTTACCCCTAAAAGTTACTTTTGTTCCCAGTTTGTTCAGAGAATAATGGATGAAATATTGCCCTTCCATTAGAAGGTTTTGGGGCTGCAGCTTGCATCTCTGTGCACCTGGTAAGAAACATCTCAACAGGGAGTGCATTAGGGCTTCTTGCAGTCTCCTAAAGTACTTTCCAACCCAGGTCAGGCCTTTTCTCCAAGTTAAATGCAATATCATTCCTTTCAGCAGTCTGCATTCTCATCACAGGTCTGTTGGTCAGAAATGAATGAGGGCTAAAATTCAAGAAATGCCGCATGTTTATAAAGAGGATGCCTAAATCCTAAAATATGATAAAAGGGCCCTTATTAATGAAGAAAGATGCTTCCTGCTGTAATGAGCAGTCACAAATGCAGCCAACACTAAAATACCAGGAAGGTTCCAAAAAACCTTTGCTAAAAAACAGTTAAAAGCCATTTAAAGAACCAGAAAGAAGACAATTGCCACAAGTTTTAACAGAACTCAAATGTGAAGATGCGTTATTTCTTTTTTTTTGAGACAGAGCCTCACTCTGTTGCCCAGGCTGGAGTGCAGTGGCATGATCTCGGCTCACTGTAACCTCCACCTCTTAGGTTCAAACGATTCTCCTTCCTCAGCCTCCTGAGTAGCTGGGATTGTAGGCGCATGCCACCACACTCAGCTAATTTTTGTATTTTTAGTAGAGACGGGGTTTCACCATGTTGGTCAGTCTGGTCTGGAACTTCTGACCTCAAGTGATCTACCCGCCTCAACATCCCAAAGTACTCGGATTACAGGCATGAGCCACCACACCCAGCTGAATATGTCTATTTCAAAGTAGATGTCATAAACACCAAGATTCTTATTTTGCATTTAACTGTGCTAAATACACATGCCTACAAAAAAGGGGCATTAACACTGGTTTAAATACACTTTATATGTAGAATAATCCTACATGATAGGTGCTCTTCAGTATTTATCCATTTTGTACCTTCATATTAAAATCTTTAATGGCAAAAATTTCTTCTACACTGTTTATGTTGCAGGTGGGAAAAAGAGGACACACCAGGATGTTAAATAAATAGAATAAATGTTACATGTAGCAGTTTAGAGAAATTAACAATTATTTTCAGCAGGTGATTATGGAGGCATTAGTTAACATCTGACAAGAAAAAATGGGACAGATTTCAATGAATTCTTTCTAGACAAAAGAGGAGACATAAAGGTAGACAAACTATTGAACATATCCAGGCCCCCACAGTTCATCTGCATGCAGCACAGAAAGCCATTCTGGGGCAATATGGAGAAGAACCTGAGTCCTGACTGTCTGGCCTTTAGTGAGCTTACAGGACAACTGGGGTTTTCTAACTCTATTGCTGACCAAATACACAGGCAGTGAGGGACAAATGCCAGGACATGGGAGAGCAGCTAGAAAGTGTAGATCATCAGAACATACCACCCCAAAATATGCTCTCTGGCATAAGAATTATTTTGCCAAGGACTTAAGAGGGGTAGAGGGAAGATTATATTTTGTCCCCCGAAAAAACTTAGTTTCTTCCCTAGACAGGATGATAAAAAGCAGGACCAGGATAAGATTACTCATTATAGGAAAAAAAATACATAAATCAGTGGAAGCAGCAGCACCTGTTTGGCAGTGCTCAGGGATGATTCAGTTAAAATACACCGTCTATAGTAAGGACCCACTCAACCTCAGCACTACCAACATTTGAACCAGAAGATTCTTTGTTTTGGGGATCTGCTTGTGCACTGTTAGACGCTTAATGACATCACTAGCTTCTAACCACTAATTGCCAGTGGAACCCATCCTCCAGTTGTGACAACCAAAACTGTCTCTAAACGTTGCTAAATCTCCCCTTTGGGGACAAAGTTGTCCCTAGTTGAGAAATCACTGGTCTAGTAATTCATTTTGTTTTGTTTTTAGGGAAAACAAAACCAGAATGGTAAAAAAGAAACCTGGTTCAGGCACTACAGGGTAGGGAACATGGCCTGCTGGAAAGAAGATGGGAAGGCCCCCGGCCCCTCCAATCTCAATGCCATGACTTCCCATGTATATGGCTTTCGGCACATTACCAAGATTCTCCCAGTCTCTCCTTTTCTGTAAAAAGGAGATACTGAAACCTACCTAAAATAATTACTGAAAGAATTAAAAAGACAGAAAGCATCTAGAGTTGAGTAAGTGCTCAAATAAATATTGTTTCCTCTATTAGTAGGTGATTATAACCAATGGTTCACAGAAAAATCTGAAGAATTTATGAAGTATAGGAGTTACTTCTTCACCAGGACTTGGTTTCCTGCAAGGGATGATAGTGATCTATCCTCACTGAGCTACTAATACATGTTTTCAGTGCTCACAGAAATGAATTACTTCATTGAGCATATGGAGTCCAGATCTCCTAGCATTCTTAGCAACAATGTTTTAAAATCTACAAAACTATGTATTTCTGCAACACATTTAAGAAGCCTGAAAACCTGAAGAGCAACAGAAATACCTTTTAGATACAGTAACTCAAATTTGTATGATGTGAATTTTTCAGAACTAAGCCAGGGACACTGGTGATCTTTTAAGGTACAATGTCTATGTTATCTTATGATGTAGGAATGCCTATTGATTACACACACAAATAAATTACTGCTTTGGATTATTTGTACCTAGATTTATGACTCCTAACATTATGCTTTACAATGGCAATGAAAGAACTATTGGATTCCCTAATGCAGTACTACGCAATAACCAGGGAGTGGCAGCATTGTCCCAAAAAGACTTCAGAATCAATTCCACAGATAAAACATGCAGAGGTAGACTGGATGTAAACAACAATTTGGAACAAATTTAAGTAGCTGCAATATGCACAATCTTTCTAAATGGGCCAGTAACTTAATTAAAAATTACAAGTTGTGAAGGGAGGCAGTGTGTGGTTTCAGCAGGTACTAGACAAAAATAGGTAATCTAGGACTGCAGTTCAGTCTGCAACCGCTAGTTGCAACCTTAGTGGAGTTGCCAACCCTCTCAAAAGTGAAGGGACAGAACAAAATTGTTTCTATGCTCTCTTTCTATTCTTACATGTTTATATCTACATTTCTTCCTCAAAAACACCAAGTAGTAAGAATGATGCTGTGGGAGAATCTCTGATTTTTTCTCTGTATCTGTGCATTGGCACTGGCTAACAGTGCCATCCTAAAGAAGGTTTACAAATTAAAACGTTATCTTCAGTGGAAGCTGGCCACTGCTATACTGTGGGAAGAGGAGAGCATCCCCTCCCTGAGTAAGTGTTCCCAAAGCTACCTCAGACACAAAGGTATTGCTCGAAAGTTACACAGGTAATTATCTAATTCCTAGTACTCATTAGTCAAAGAATTTTGTTCAAAATCTCAGAAAATTAAAGCCAGACATGAACTTAGAGATCATGTGATTCAAGCAAAACTGGGTTTGAATCCTGGCTCTGCAACTTACTGAGCTATGTGACTTTGGGCAAGTAACTTCTCCAAGCTTCAATGCTCTCATAAACAGAATGGGAGAAAAACAACAGTTTCTATCTCATTTGGTTGCGAGGATTAAATAAATTAATATAAAGCAAGTGGATGAGCTCAATAAATGTTAGATATTACTATCACTGTTTTACAGAAAAAGAGAGTAGCCAAGATAGGGAGAAAGAGGTCACTTAAAGGTTTTGCTTTTCTAAGATTCAAAATTATGTTAGTAATAGCAATATAAAAAGTCATACAGCAAATTAAGAAGAAAATGTCTTCACTCTTCCAACAATTCTAAAAGCTTATCAAAAATTTCTAACAAATATGCATCATTATATACTAGCAATATAATTTAACTATAGCATAAAGGTCAAAATGTTTATAAATAAGATATTTTAAACAGAATGCTGAATAAACAGGGAAGTGAAGAGAAGCTTCTTCTGTGAAAGCACCCTAAGATGTATTTCTGAATATAAAGAACCCACTGGGAAGTAAATAACTTCTGGCCATTTTATCCCTTTTTTTTGGAGACAAGGTCTCACTCTGCCACCCAGGCTGGAGTGCAATGGCACCATCATGGCTCACTGCAGCCTCAACCTCACAGGCTCAAGTGATCCTCCTGCCTCAGTCTACTGACTAGGAAGACAGGAGCCCAGCTAATT